TGAACTCGTAAGCGGCAGCTGCAGACGTCAGTCAGGGTCACGTGTAATGCATTGGCACTGGGTACAGACCTTCGGAATGCTGGCCGGTTAATTTGCTCATCAAGGTACTCTTGCCAACCGAAGGAAAGCCAATAAAGCCTCTGACGGTAACGTCAGCTGCTAATCCTTGAAGTGGGAATGTGAAGAGACATACACACTGGCAACACCAGTACGGGCGACGTCGAATCCAACTGATCATCAAGGTCAGAAGATCGGCATCTTCGTGTGTTTGATAATAAGACACTTACTACCACCGCCACCTCCACCACTACCGCCAGGTGGGTTCAAAAGCTCTCTTCTCAATTTTGCGAGTTTAGCTTTTAGCTGTCCTGTGCCCCCATGTATCAGCTATTCGCCCTACCACATTGACGTCGGACTTGTTGTCTTTGTTTTATGCACATACCCAAGTGGAACGACGTAGCCTTATTCTTCTGAGTCCGGGCCATCTATAGGAACAACCATCAGCATATCATTCTGGGGCCGACCAACTGGCCTCCGAACGAAAATAATCAGAGGAATTCCACGAACCTCGGCCTCGATCTCTTTGATCTATACATTTCCATCACCTCGTCAGTCGAAATTGTCCAGCAGAGAATGATATCTCGGGGAAGGCGTTGTGTCGTCCAACCTTTTCCACAGTGCTCGACATTGTTCCTCTAGCTTTCAGGCGTTCAAAGTAGAAATCGATAATCCAGTCTCCGAAATGTGCGCCTGCTGAGCAGTCGTGCGATCAAAAAATGACGGACACGAGCCAATGCGTGGCAGTTCTTCTCGTGGATTTTTTTGTGGAATCAGCTGTTTGCCGTCTGGATCTATGCACGGAGTACAGAGTAGGCGGTGGCACAGTCGAAGTGGCGGGGTGTTTCCTCTGCTGGTGTTGGTGCCTGAGGCATCAAGGAAAGAGTGGGTCGCTTAAAGTCGGTCAGCGACCACGAGCGGTCTGACGCCATTGTTTCGGAAAGCGCCGGTAGAGCAACTGTCCTACTTCATTTAAAGTTATCATGATACTTTCAACGAACCCTGGGAACAGTTGTACTACTCCTGTTTGTTCTCAAAAAGTGGACGAGCTTCTTTGACCTCTAGGTACCCTCCTTTTGCGCTATATATAAAGCTGTGGTGGAGCGACGCAATCCCGATCTTTATCTCTAGTTATCTTATCTATACGATTCGTCGCTCTTGCATATACCTAGCTAGCTACCTGACCGCCCTTGTTGAGGACTACGACTACCAACGATACGGAATAATTGCTTCCCGTTGAGCTTGACCAAGATGCCGTATCTGAAAACAAATGCGACATCCTGCCCGTCTTCCACTGGTTGCCACGATTGCCACAACCAGAAGCAGGACGGCTCTCCGGATGCTTTCGAAAAGCTTGTGGAAGAGCTCAGTGCAGCTCTTGGTCCCAGTTCAGGACTCGACTCTGACGATGTCGATCCGTTAGACATCCAGCGCCTGATGGAGAAATATACCTCCAATGAGGCTGAATGGGGTCGCTACGCATTCGGTGATCCGAGCAAGACGTATACTAGGAACTTGGTTGACGAGGGAAATGGGAAGAGCAACCTGGTTAGTTGCATTTCAAGCAGAAAGCTATGTCTCATCTGCTGACTCGAACGATTCATTGAATTAGCTCATTCTTGTCTGGACTCCCGGTAAAGGCAGTGCAATTCACGATCATGCCAATGCCCACTGTGTCATGAAGGTATGGAGGCGAATTCTATTCCACATTATCCAAGCTCACATAGCTCGTCACATAGGTTCTCAAAGGGTCGCTCAAAGAAACCCTCTACGCATGGCCCGAGAAGGAGAAGGTTGCAAATGGCCAAGAGTCGCCCCTGAAAGTCACCAAAGAGACAGTGTATCACGAAAACCAGGTCACCTACATGTCCGACAAAGTGAGTCATACGATGTACCAGTCCTTGATATGAGTTTGTGACTGATGTGTGTGTCCTACACAGCTCGGGCTCCACCGGATATCCAACCCAGATCCCAACAACTTCGCTATTTCCCTTCACCGTACGTTGGCCAAAGCTGTTTGTGTCCCGTAGCTACATGCACTGACACAAGATTTCCTCTAGTCTATACTCCTCCGAACGCCGCTAACTACGGATTCTGTATCTTCGATGAGAAGACGGGCAAGTCGCGGCACATCAAGCAGTGCGAGTTCTACTCCCGGAAGGGAAAAAAGCTTTAAACGAGGTGGACTTTTTTTCATAACTTGTTTGGGCTAGCTTATCGGTTTTGGGTTTTTGGGTTTGGGTTTCGGGTTTCGGGTTTGCTGGCATAACTCCCCCCCTTTCCCCTATTGATTACATGCATGCATTGCATTATTCTTCACGGCCTGCGGGTTTGTTCTCATACACTCTTCTCAGGGTCAACAATGGGTGGCGTACCTCTGTACTGTCCTCTAATAAAATAAAAATTGTATACAACTAGATGGCGCGGGCGCCGACGGGCAACGAATCAATCTTGCAAAAAAAAAATCCTCCTCACCTTCTTGCTCTTCTTGCTCTTCTTCTTCTTGGACATTTCTCAAGTAGGACACAATCTCAAAACTTGGGAAATTGACGATGTTGTACAGTAGGCGCAAATAACATAAAAAAGAAGCGTAGTTTCGTGAAACAGAACACCCATAATTGTCACTGTCGTCATATATTGGGAACATGACGACAGTCTGTCTGTCTGTCAACACAATTGTACAGTGGAATATATATATCGTTTCCGTATGTAGTACAACGAACCCAAGTACCAAGTGCCAAGTTCAGCCGGCCGGAAGGAAGCGAAGAAGATGATGAAGACTACGACGGAGAATCTTGAAGACAAGTGGGGAAAAATATGTCCCCATTCTATCATCATTCTTTTCTTTCTCGTGGCTTAGTGCTAAGTAAGTGGACTTGTTTCCGAGCTCTGTACATACATACAGATATATGTATTTATTACTTACTGACTGGCTGATTGACTGACTGGAAAGGAAAATTAAAAAAAAAAGGAAATAATTGTACTGTACGTAATTCGTTATTACAAATGAGATGAAGACTAGGAGAGAAAAAGAAAAGGTGACTATCCCTGATAAACCTAATTTAAGTCAGTCCCTCTTGCCGGAGAGTTCTTGCTCTCACTCCCACTCTCGCAGCCCCCCTAAGACCTGCACTCCTATCTCTATCCCTAGGGACCCAGGCCCCGTCTGTTCTTTTTCGAATACTAGCCTGACCTATTGTTGTTATTGTTGTCATTGTCGCTGTCGGAGCTCTTCCAGCCGGACCAGAGGATTCTGTTGTCAATTCCCAGTATGAGTAGACTGCTCGCAGGAGATGCAGGAACATGTCGACTGTGACACCCACCCAGTCGGACTCGGATTCCTGGTTTGGTACGCCTTCTTCGGCTGCGGATAGTGATTTTCGCGTTGTAGCAGTTCCGGTTCCGGTTGTCGTAGTTGCTTCAGATATCTTTCGCACGGGGGCAGGAGTGCCAGGAAGACTGGAGCGGTTGGCTTCGTTTGTTGTCGTCGTCGTTTTACAGCAGCCAGACTCAGACTCCTCTCCTCCTGAATCGGAGATTGCTCTTCGACCATCACCATTACTTCTTCCCCCTCTCCTAAGCCATTGTTCTTTGACCGCCTCGATGTACACTCTTATCTCTGGAATGTCATCCCATGCGTTTGACTGCGCGGAGTAGGATTTCCATATATCTCCCGGCGGCGGTACCTGGGATTGGACAGACGACACTGAAGACGATGCTGTTGATGGCTGAGTACACGATGTATCATCCGTAGTGCTGCCAAGTGAGGACACGCTACCCGGCTCGGTGACTGTTACTGTTACTGTTACGTCCTCATCGGCAAACACCCGCGTGGGCTTGACAGCACGGGCTTCCCAGGGGAATATCTGCGCCAGTTTCTGTGGCTCCCTCTTTACGCTGGGAACCTCGTAGTACATGTTCTTAGGTGCTTCTGGATATGACGACGGCGGCCGGAAAAGCTTTGTGTCTTCAGACATATTGTAGATCTTTTTCTGCAGGCCTATTGCTTCCGGCTTTGAGTGACGAGGTGGTGGCTCCCTGTGCTTGGTCAATTGGATACTACCAGATAGATTGATTATAGGGTTATAGCCATACCGGGTTGCATCCCATTCCGCCTTTGGTGGTGAGAATGGCCGCTGCGTGGGCGAAGGAGGCTTCTGAGTAAGGTGAAAGGCGTCTTTCTCAGACTTCAGTCGATAGTGATATGGTTCCTCTTGCTTCTGGCCATATGATAGCGACGTCTGCAGCGTTGGAGGAGCTCCAGGCTGCCTGCTTGGCGAATGGGCAGATACGGAAACATGCTCTTCACCACGCACATATAATGGTACCACACTCGGAACGTCTGTATGCGACTTTTCCGGCGCGCTAGATATTCGTGGTTCATGAGACATGGTTGGTGAGCTCACTGGCTTCGCGTGCACCAGTTCTGTCGGCAGATCATGGACAGGTCCAGGTTCTACGAGAGCTTCAGGCACCAGCGAACGTTGCACGACCTGCAGATCCTCAGCAACCTGTTCGCTTTCCTGGTAGTGTGGGAGAGTAGGTCCTGCTGAAGATATCGAAGGTGGCTGTTGTACAATGGAAGATTGGGAAGGTGACGCTTCCAATGTCGTATGAATCGGAGCTCCTATCTCTGAAGTATTGTTGAACTTCGGAACTCCCGCCGATTCGTCGAGCTGGCTGATTTGGGATGGAGGGGGCTAAAGAGGAAATTTAGAGACACAAAGGCTGTCATTATGAGGAATCCTTACCTGAGGCCGGTAGTGTCGATCGTACACAGCCCACCATCTTCCAAGGAGCTGATCATACGGTGTTCCCCTAGGGAATGCATATCTCGATAGGTTCCATGGTTTCTGGGGACCAATGAAATGAAGCAGACTGATCGTACTCTCGAAATGCTTGTATGCCGGGAGATACTGGTAGTTTCCATTCGGGGTGCAATTATACGTGAAGCTCAATCTGTGCCAATTTTTGAAGTGGGTGTTCAGCAGGCCTTGGTCGCCTCCATCAAAGCTGATACCCCTCTCTGCTAGCGCACGCAGAGAGTAATAGTCCTGAATATTTGGACGAAGTACCATGACCCCGCTGTTGAAGATATCGGGCCACCCAACGTCTGGTGCTGCTGCAAAATCCACATCCAAGGACAATAGTTCATCTGGGGCCCTAACCGCTACGACGTCTGAATCGATGTATACAATGCGATCGAATTGTGTCTGGCGCCAGAGCTCGATCTTCGTGAACGTCGAAATCAGATCCGGTCGGTCCATTAAGTAGAGGTTCTCTGGGGTGCCGTTCGTGAAGCGGCGGACAGGTATGACTTCATCGTAAAGTGTCTTCGCTAGTCAGCGGCAGCTAACACGCCAATTCGCAGTTATGAATCATACCTTCAGCTCGTTGATTGTCAACTCTTTGAGAGTTTCCGGTGTAAAGAGAGCGACCAATCTCCCTTTTGTTCCATTGTTCCGTAACGAATGTGCCAGGACAGCCGCACCTAGGGTGACATCAGTATAACCGACGCCCATTCAGCGGATAAAGACAATGCATACCCGGGAGATAATTGTCGGTCATAAGGAGCTGTCTTCTTGTCAGAAATCATTGCTGTAGCTCAGGATGATGGCGACTCAAGCTCACTGTACAGTAGACTGCCTCACCCCGCGCAGCCATGGCTGGTCGGTGACTTTCTAATCCAAACACCCTGGAACCGGCACCAACTTCTCTATACGCAAAACCAGAAGACGATCGAAGAGAGGAGGAACAATAAAGGTTAACCTGAGGGCCACTGGTCACTTCATCTGCTGTAACCTCCCATGCTATCAGCCAGGTTGCTCCTCCTGAGCGGAATGACAGGTATATTTGTATGTGCTGATAACAAAGACTTACCGTCTGAGACAAGAATGGCATGCTGCCTGAGAAGCACAGTACAGAAAACTAAAAGCAACGCAGCGACGGGCTATATACAAGAAAACAGCAATTGAGGGCTTGGGAGAGACAATGCTGAGGCAGGGTGCCCCACCTGTCGAGATGTCGGAGCAGCCTGGAGAAAGCTCTCGGATGCTTCTGGTCCTTGGGCCGCACGGCCAAGCTTCCCTGGCCAGGTAATTTCATTTTAGACTGGGAACCAGCAATGATCACAAGGGGCATGCTCTGCTGGGTCCAATCTTCCTGAATCTCCTTGCCATTCTTTACCGCGCAGAATTGCTTGCATTTACTCTGTATACCTATAGCATAGAAATGGCACAATATGGGCAACACAATGCCAATAATTGACCTCCAGGACGCCTAATGCTATATAGTTACGCAGATAAGGAAATAGCTATGCACCACGCTCTTCTTATTGACTGTGCCAAAATCAGCCATTTGAGCCACTTCCTCACATATCTAGCATCTAAACGCAGTGGATGCGCTGATAGCAATTGCTCTGCTGCTCTGCTTGATGTCATTCCCCCCACACACAGCGCCGAAAACCCAATCACAACCAAGTACGGAGTATACGGGACGGATCAGCGCTGCACCAACTTTCCCCGCAATAATATATAATTTACAGCTCTCAAGAGACATTCATCTTGAAAAATCCCTTCTTGCCATTCGCTAAGGTCAACATAAATAACAATGATCATAATAATACACTGTATTATACTCAATCTTCCATGTCACTTATCAGAGACAGATTCCTATTTCCCCCGCTTGCTTGGTTTGATACTTCCTAAATCCGCATGCGCTAGGTTCGAAGGGTCACCGCCGCTCCGGCGTAGCTTGCCTCTATAACCGACCCGATGTCTTCCTTCTCCCCTCCGACAGCCCACTCGATCACCTTCTGCAACGCTACCCGGCTCTCTTGCTCTATAGGCGTGCAATGTCCAGAGCGTGGCAGTGTAATCACCTGGCTGTTATGAACGAGGTAATCGCCAATGCCGTCCAAGCACAATTGTCGCTCCAGCGCGGTATCTTTCGAGGCCCAGATTATGGTCGCATTCGCCTTGAGCGACCCCTTTGGTCCGTCGTCAAACACGCCGGCACGACTGCTCGATCGTCGCAGTTCACTACCGCGACCGAGACTGTGGAGAGTCGCAATCGTTTCGACCGATTTTGACCAAGGCGTAACGGCTGTTCCATGTCTATAGTAGCTGGCCATGTTGACAAAGTTCCCTGAACTTCGCTGTTTTATGACGCTTTCGGGATACCGTTCATGATCACTGTTCTCCGTTTTACATTCCTCCGCAGACGGTCCTAGAGTGCTCGCCATGGATTCCGCAGCATCCAACACGGTGTAATCTCCCCCTTCACCGTGCGCAATCTTATGGGCACCCTTCAGGAACGAGTAATTCCCACCTGAGCCAAGATAGCGGACCAAGGGCAGTGGCAGTTGCATAACGAAGATATAGCCCGACAGGACCAGCTGCCGAAGCACAGGCTTGAGAGTATTGAAGGCTTTCGAAAGCATTGACGGAGATTGCAGCGGAGCACGCAAAAAGATCTTGAACATTTTTACAGAGGAGGACACCAGCCTCCTGATGTTCGCAGAAACTAGCCCGGCCTGGATGGCGAATCGAGACTGTCAGCCTGATGGGAAACAGACAAGGGTTAGAAGTTGCAGCGGTATTTGCACATACGAGAGGTCCGTTGCAAAGGATAAACCTGTCCGCCAGTTGAGGAGCGTCAGCCGCGAGGCGCATAGCCAGCACGCAGCCCCAGTCATGGCCAACAATAATGACTCTTCCCGTAGCTTTTCCATTCGTCTGACTGTCAATCTCATACCGCTCCCTCACGGCGACGATAAACTCGGTCAATTTCTCCAGCACGTCCGTAGCTGTGTATTTCTCCAACCGGTCGCTCCCACCGTATCCCGGTAAATCGACCGCAACTAACGAGCTCGATTCGCGAATGCAAGTGGAGCTGAAGATGTGGCGCCATAACGCCCAGCTATCGGGGAAGCCATGGAGGAAGATGACGAGCGGTCGGTCGGGACGAGAGGTCGTCGTCCGGCTGCTGGGAACATCGTTGGTGACGTAGTGGAATTTAAATCCGTCGCGCAGCGTCAGGAACTGGTGACTGAAACAGCCAGACCACTGCTTGGATAAATTCCAGAAGCGATCTCTAGCTAAAATATGCTCGAAAGTAGTCGATTAGTCATTTGTCTGGTGTTTCCATGTGCTGCGGTAGAACAGTACAGTACATGGAACTATATATGCATTGTAGTCGGGGGTAAGGAATGACTAGGAGAAAGCCAAGAATGCAGCATTCAAGACAAAAAACGGACAGAAATGAATATACACACCTAATCGTAATTCCAGGTCCTCCTTTTCTGTAGGCCTCTTGAAGAACGTGCCATCTTTCAGAGCTGTAGCAGTATAGAGGAGCAGGTTGAAGAGGCCATAGCTGAAAGCGACAAGGGAGCCCAGGGCTCTCAGCAGCTGGTCAGCCATGAAGGCTCCGAACGGCGCCGCAGCTCAATGTCGGTCGGGTTCTTGCACAATATTGTGTTGCCCCACGCTGCTGTACAAGATATTATTATTATTATTAGCTTCCACTGTGAAGAATTTCTTTGTCACCAGCTATTATTACATGGTGTAACGTTTTAAGCTAACGTCCAGCTACGTTAGGTAGCTCGCGTGCCACCGATCGTCGCCCCAATACCCCTAAACCTTGGTAGCTATCGCCGCTGCGTCATCGGAGTCGTCTAGCTATAGAACAGACAAACCGCGACGTCAACACCTGCGATGACTGGCTGCAATATAAATTTTCAACAGTAAGCATTGTTAACGCTAGGATAATTTACAATATATCCCAAGTTACCTGGGCACAATCTACTCTGGCCAGTTGCCATGAGAACTATACAATATGCGTGGGGGACTGGGTCTCAAATTTACCATGTAGTAGGGTATGCTACCAAGCAAACCATATCCACCCTTCTCTCTAAGATGCGGTGATGAAATGATAAAAATTTTATACAAATACAATAGGAGCCCCCATAAGCCAACGCCAACGTTAAGATTATGTATGCACCCAGCACATAGCCACAGTTCCGAAGTTGCACCGATCGAAAATAAAGATATTAGCAACGAAAAATTATAAGACTGGGGAATGGACAACCTCAAACCATTCCCAATGATCCCGTCAATCGTCGTGGATACAGGTGTGGCGAACACATGATACCAGACATGATGATCATAGAGAAAAGCCCAACTTCTCTCGATTATCATCAATCAACCGCCCATATCTAGTAGTCAGAAGTTAGCCGCGGGTGAACTTGCAAGGGGAAAAAAAAAGAGGGAAAACTCACTCTAACAGCAGTCTAAAAAACCATGCCTCCAGATCCTCATTACGAAGCACTTTCTGTGCCCATTCCTTGCCTTGTTTGGCCAAACGCGGACCCTGGATCTTCCCTTCGTCTTCGGAAATAAAGTAGCGTACACTTTCCACATAGTCGTCACCCTTCAAGCTCAAGGGGACGTAGTGGACCCATGGCCGGAGCCACTCATCGTGCCATTCACGGAAAATAGCGATCTTGTAGACCAAGCTATTGCTAAGTAGGAAGGCATAGTAGCGACCACTGAAGGCGTTCCCATCGATGTCGAGGAGATACTTATAAGCCCAAGCATCCTGCTGGCCCGCTGGTTTAACAACCTGGAAGAATTGCTTCTGTGCCTCGCAGTCGTCCGGGTCACACTGGCCAATAAACGTAAACTTGACATCGAATAAATTAGTGAAGTCTTTGCGGGGAACTCCCTTGGTGATCCATTTCCCTTTCTCATCTTTGGTGAGAATCTTTGCCTCGTCTGGAGCGTTGATTTTCTTCACTAATAGCTGTCGATGCTGCCGGCGCCAACCGCCCGCGCGCGAAAAGCCTCCAGTTGTCGACCCTCTCCAGTACATCTTATCCGCTTTCTGATCCCAGCTATAGTCTTTTCTCGCGTCATACGGAACTTTCCCAATCCAGTACCACGGGCTTGGATATAGAATGTCCTGGAAACTGGATATCTTGCTCTGTGAGAATACAGGGAACAGATCATGAACGATATCGAATGCATTCGGTCGGTCAAAGAATCCAAAGGTGTTCCTCAGAGAAGGTGTCAAGCAAATGTCAGAAAAGGCCGTGGTGTTGTATATGAAGCCAAGTTCACCATATGAGTACGCAGTGGTATTGTCTGCGGGGTCCTCATCGAGAGATCGGGCAGGGCTATCCACGGGGCAGGAGATACGGGAGTGCGTCCAAGTAGGCTGATGGGCAAATCTGTTGAAGCGAGTAGTGCGTACCTCCTCAATCCGATCGCCTTTGTTCACATCCGATGGTCTCGGCGACCACGCATTGCGCGGCGATGGATTGCTTGAGGCGGCCGGAATCGCAACCTCCTTTGCATAAGACACCATTCGCTGTAGATCTTCATGGGGAACTATCACGCGAGGTTCGTCATGGGTGTTGAAGACAAGGTCCATGTCGGGCAAGTATTGGACGAAATCCTTCATCATGCCGACAGTTGCTTCTCGCTGCCATTTATACCCATCTCCCCCGCCTTCCACCTTGGTGACCTTGCCGTCCCTGATCAAAAGCCCAATCACAGCATTGTCGAATCCCAGCGTCTCTCGAGCGCGTTCACGGATAACCTTGGGGGGCAGGGCCCAGAAAGGCAACAGGGAATCATAAATCGTGTCGTATTCGTCGATGAGCTGAACACCTCTCGACTGCGCGAACTCAAACCATTTGTCAAAGTTTGGCGGCGGTGGCATCCCATAGCGGCGGCGATACTCCTTCACGGCCTCGGCCAGGGTCGTCGACTGTCGGGCCCGTAACTTTTCGAACTGGTCGTTCGCATCGTTGATGAGTTTCGCGATCGGATGGGACTGTTCACTCGTCGGACTTAACAAGCTCTTGAAGTCTGCTGGAAGACTGTGCTCGAATGGGTTGGTGGCGATGTCAATTAACGGAGCGCTGGAATTTTCCTTGAGAAGCAGGATGGTGAGAACAGCTAGAAGGGCAATTGCCAGCAGGATGACGAGCCGCGTAAGCCGCATCCCGCTTTACCGATTCATATGAGATCGAGCGTATATATAAACAAGGAAATCAGCAGTGAGCGTTGACGCGCCCGGTTTACAGGCATCAATTATTTGGAGGAATAAACGAGTGACAAAATGCACATGGCAGGATAAAGAGCGTCGAGAAGACCAAGTGCTCTGCGGTTGGCCTCCCTTGACAACTGTCTCGAAGTTCGACGGTCTCGATGCACGGTGCGTCGTGTCCACGTGCGTCGTCCCCGGAAAAGCTTGGCCAGCAAGTCGTTGTCAGTCGACTGAGTGACGCAGTTCTCCAGGCTGATGCCAAGTGTGGCAGAAGCTCTCTCAGGGAACGCGTATCTTCAGCGACCATGCGCTCTGATACTGTTCAATCGCCAGGGGCGTTGTTAATTTGTCCATTACATCGTAGAAATTATTCCTCGGTGACGGTCCCTGCACAATCGCGGCCACTAAGCCCGACTTGGCTGCGTGCCTTGCAACGGGACGGGAGTCAGAAATCCAGACCCGTCCAAAGGATCCAGAATCATCACGAACTCACCCCTGCTGCTGTGTAACAAATGACACGCGACCTTTTGTATTTTTAGATTACTTGTACCCGTTTCTATCGCCAGGAGAGTCTCGCTGAACCTTAGCAGGCAATAAGGAATGCCAGACGGCAAGGAAAGCACCAGTGATGATGTTTACGATAGTTCGAAGTAGGCTATTTACGGACGAGGCAGCGACAGTCTCCTTTCGTCAGATTTAACATGGTGCAATAGAGTTGTGTTCTTCTTTTTTTTTTCCTATTGAAGATATGGACATGGATAATTTGGAAATTGAAGGGAATCTTCAGGTCTTCCTTTTCCCAACAAGCAGCCAACAATACACCAAGTTAGCGATGGATACTCCGATAGCCTCAAGGACATAAGGTCGCGCATAGATGACGTGGGAATATGCCAAAGCCAGAAGTGCGCCAACGAGCACCAGGTGACCGATGTAGAAAACTCGTCGTCTCTCCTCCGCACTCCTCAGACCGGGCCATTGCAAGCTCCTAAGTTGCCACAAAGTTGAACGACCAAAGATCAATACCAGAAGGGCTGTTGCAAGCGCCGCAAGCCCACACTGGACATCCAGATCCCGAATACGTTTTGCAAGCAACGTTCCGAAAAGTGGGTGAGAAGACTGCACATAGAAGAGGAGATACAAAATGCCATGACCACATAGCAGAGGGACGATGATGAGTCGACCGAAAAGACGATGATAAGGTGCCAGCGTCGTCTGGGGAATTGATGTCAAAGATGATAAGAGGGAGGGTAGCGCCGGATTTGAAGTGAAGATGAACGACGTAGGAGCAAGGAGCATTTGAAAAGGTAGCTGGGACAGCGAAACATTCGCTAAAGCCTTGGTTAGGTGAAGATAATCTGTCAAACCATTAGCGTTTCTAGGAACTGCACCCTAAGCCCTATGTCGATCTGGCTTCTGGATATCTAAACATACCATCGCCGGTATTCCACACGGAGAGACCTAGCAAAAACAGCAACCAGAGAAGAGTGATAGAGTATTGCTTCCGAGTTTCTGTCCATCCCTGAAAAGGTGGTGAGTCCCACCACGATCTCTTGGTTATCGTTCGTCTTGTAGGAGGCCCCCTATAGAACCGATAAAGAGAAATTGCAGCAATAACTGCAAGGGCAGAAAGCTGCGCATAATAACCACGGAGGTCCAAAACATCCCGACGACGCTGGATCTCCTTTTCCGACAGGGACACAAAATGATAGGGCCATGAGAGAGACATTGTTGCAATCACGGTAAGTATGTGGCACAATTTCAGGATCAATTGAATATTATAATGACAAACTTGTATAGGAGCAAGTTAAAGAATGCTGAAAATGGACCGGCTTCCTTATTAGGAGATCCAAGTTTCAATACAAGCACATCAGAGGTATTTCACACGACTTCCTGCAGATATATAACTAGAAGGCAGCAGATTATGACACAAGAAATGAACAAGAGCTATATGTATGACAAATTTTTGAGCTGCCTGCAACAGACAGAATTGTAATACTCATTTCTGCTGCTACAAAGTCGAAAGGACAACATTGTCAGGAAAGCACCCGATGCTGACAAATGAACGTGCGGACGGCAGGCCGCACGTGCGGATACCGGATTACCTACCTAAGGTATTTATCCACCAGATGAGAACATCCAATCTCTACAGTAATTGTCCCTGATTGATGGCTTCTTATTTGATTTCTTGCTTCAATAACGTGTCTACATAGACATGCTCCCGGACCCTTTGCAAATCTTTCTACGGGATCGCAATATGATGACTAGTTGTATTACCAATTTGGTGGGTCCGTATATGCTGTATCCAGCGGCATCCTCGTCTTCTGCAGCGAGGCATGCTGACGAGGAATACGAAGTCATACGTTTTCTTTGAATTGTAAACCGCCACAGTGCATTTTTCTTTTTCATGTCTGTCAAAAATGCTAATTATGTTTCTAACCTGACAGGACAACCCGTCCCCAAGTTTCCACGTATAACTATGGGTCAGAAGTCTTCCTTCGCTTCTCTGGAAATAGATCCCACTACACCCACAACCGAAGTGCAAAACTGCCAAGGATGCTCTCTGACGATAGTAACCTACGGCGAGGTCTGCATAACTTCTTCGTGGCCGCCTGCGGCAGTTGTGGCAAAATATCGGACATCAACATCCTCATCTTCCTGCAACTTCTCCAGATTGGGGAGGATCCGTTGCTGAATCAGTTCCAGCCCGCGTGGTGATGGAGTTCCCGTTTGGCCCGATTTTTCCAGATCCTGGAGGGTGCCCTCTGCGGGAAGACGTCGTAATGTATCAATCAGCACTGCGTACGACTTTGCAACATTAAAACGGATATTAGGGATGTCGTCCGTCACCAATTTATCAAGAATGGGAAGTATAGACGCTTCGATGATATTGAGATTGACAACAGGTGCAAGAGTCTGAACAAGTTAGAACGAAGAATGTCACACAGATCCTCATAGCAAGGGCCCTTACCGAGATTGCAAAGCAAGTCGTCATTCTGTAAAGATAATTGGGATGTTGTCCCATAGCCATGACCTTGGGAATGATTGATCCGTTTGCCCACTCCACGCCAAAAACCTCTGTGAGCTTCTTGAGATTTTGTGTAGCCGCCTCCCGGATGGAGAAGACCGTGTCCCCGAGCCAACCCATACAGAGGTTGCTGAGCTTTTCATCGAAGAACTTGACGCCAAGCTGGCTAGCAAGAAGAGGGATATATTCGATGATGGCCAGGCGGACACGCCATTGCTTGTCTTCGGCCAACTGAACAATGGCAGGAAGGAGTGACTGGGAGAGGAGGTCGATACCAATAACTGGGCCAATGGTCAGTAGGACGCTCTGTCGGAGTTCACTTATGGAAGGCCTCAGAGAAATGCCCATACCCTTGTTCACTATGTCAAGCTTCGAGATTATGTGTAGACGAACCTCCGGGTTTTCATCCTTCAGCATTTGCAGAAACATTGGTAGAAGGTGCGCGATCGTTCTGAATCAGCCGTAAGTCTCGTGCCGAACCATCAGGCACCATAAGAGTCAAAACTTACTCGTCCTTTCCGAGGATCGGGGCCAGTCCGCTGACCTGGGTAGCCAGAGCAGAACGGACATGTTGGGATTGGTCCGAGACCAGGTCTTCAATGCTGGTCATGATCTCGTTAAGTAGCGTTTCGCGGTCGATCAAGCTGCAGAAACCTAGCAGTAATCAGCCGGCGAAGTACACTCAAGATCTGACAGAATACATACCAGGTATCTGGCCAGCAATTGCGGTGCGTACTTCGGCCTCATTATCTTTGAGAAGCTTTACAAATGCCGGCACGAGATCGCGAGTTACAACCTCGTCATCGACAGCTTTGGCCATCTTTAAAGAAAGCAATTAGCATGGGACCTGGACCAACTTGCGAGCTCAAAACGAATACCTTTTCAAATTTATCGGCCACCATGTACCTCACTCTCCAACTCTTGTCCTCGAACAAGTTCCTCAACGACGTCAAAAGTACACCGTGGCTTGACTGCTGTTCCTTGGGGATCTCCTCGGCAATGGAGATCAGAATTTCAACTGTGAGCAAACGCACGCTATCTTGATCATCACTCGTGAGGAATTGAAACAAGGGAATCATTTCATCTATAATCACTTGAGTAGGCAACTCCTTGACAAATTTGGCCAGGTTGTTCGCGGCCTGCCTCCGCACCATGGGCGTCTCATCGTGTACGAGACCCCCAAACTGCTGTCGGAGGGCCTGCTGCAAAGCCGGGGAAACTTTACGATATGCGACACAGTAAAGCCCGGTGGCAGAGATCTTCGAAGTAAACCAATCCGCTTTTGACAGGCGGGAGATCATGGGTAAAAATTCCTCTTCCACCTGCTTTTGGGATAGCTGCTCGCAAATCTTGTTGAGGGATTCGACGGCCTGCGAAACCATTAGAGAATAATTGAGATAGCCTAACCTGAATGTGTCCCACCTTATCTCGGACTAGAGGCTCCTCAATCGCCGCCAGATTCTCCAGCGGAGAGAGAAGCACGTGCCCGTACTCCGGACCCCCAACATACTCTACGAAGTTGCCCAGTTCCTCACTGAGCGCTGTCAGAACTTCATCCTCATCTTCAACGGAGTCTAAAGCAGTCCCTGTTAGACCATTGTCATCTCCGATGATGCGTTACACAGGCAGGAACTGACCATCAAGGAACGGAATCAGCTCGTCTCGCGTCCGCTCCGGACCCAAGGCTAAAGCAATCGTAGAAAGACGGTGTATCGCATTTAGACGAAGGAGGACGTCATCGTGCTATGCGCACCTCTCGTTAGTTTGCACCCTTACCATCTCACGCGCGGAATCAGCCAGGAGATTTTGGATGTAGCAAACCTTCAGCTCATCAATGAGGACGGCGATGGGGTAGAGCTCGTCATTTTCGACTTGGGAATCCATCGCGAGATCTGTACGTGAGCTACGGGGCTGTCAAAAGGGAGCGATGAGGCTAGGATGTGGCAGGTCCAAGTCCTCGAGAAAGTAGACACTGGGGGGGCAGTATCTCGACCCAGTGACCAGACAAACAGGATGTAATTCAATAATTCCAAGAGCGCAAGTCCTGCATGGACGCCAGGCAGGTTTTGGCACTAGAAAGACAGCTTTGCATCAGTATCGACTGGTTTGGGCGGGCGTGTGGGCATGGGAGGGGGGATTGAGGTTGCCAGGACAAGACCGGCAGAGAGTTTCGTGGGGTTTGGACAGGCAGGAGGCCTGTGACACGCTGAGCCGCTGCAGTGGCCGTGAAACATACCTCAAGACTCGGATTGAGACCCCAGAGCGGCCGTGAATGGACCTCAGAAATGGCAGCGAAGTGCTTCTGCTTGGATTGGGATGATAACGAACCGGGGAAAACAAACGAGCGGTCTATTCTGGTGTTGTAGATGGCCAAATGTCTGACCGTGAGCTTGAGGCTCGCTGGCAGGCCGGTCGGGGTATGGCTCTGGAGACTCTCGCCTGGGAGCGCGCGCGACCGGGTTTGTGGCTGGTGAGGGGCCTTGGGGGCTGCACTGGCCACCGCAACGAGGGGCGCTGTGGCCGTGCAGCGGCTTCGGCGTGTCCAGAGAAATGTGTCAACCGAACTGAGAAAAAGCACTCGTCGACGTGTGAAGGCAGAACAGAGCCTGCTGTCGCCTGCTCGTGCTTGTTCTGCCTCGAACAAGAGTAAGTCCGATTTCTTGTCGACTTGCTCACAATAACGAGAACCGAACCCCCCTCCCGTTCTGTGGCGCCCGTAAATCAGTCTCGTCATGCCTACTATCTCGGTCGACAAGGCCGCCCTCTTCAAGGAGCTGGGCCGAGAGTGAGTGCGCTCTTCTGTCTGCCCATACTTTGTTATTTAATATGTTAATCAATTCTCTGCTAGGTATACTACGGAGGAGTTTGACGAGTTATGCTTCGAGTTCGGTAATTCAGTCATTCCCCTCCCCTGCGGGGCTTGAACTAACCACGTCAACCAGGCATTGAGCTCGATGAAGACGTAAGGCTATGGCGACACTGGCAGCGCAAGTATTGTGCTAAAGGAGATACAGACAACAAACTCAGAGCGGCCGATCGTGGATGGAAAGCAAGAGCCTCCCCAGCTCAAGATCGAGATTCCGGCGAATCGGTCCGTTCTCCATTTATGATGTGATCCTGAGAGCGTTGCTGACAACAGTGTAGATATGACCTCCTTTGTTTCGAGGGCATCTCTCTGATGCTCAACATCTTCCTGGGTCGGAAATCGCTGCCAAATTACCGACTGGTGCCTCCTCAAGGAGAACTGGAGACTATCATTGTGAAGGAAGATGTGAGTGGGTAATAAATTTGGAAGACTGCGCGAACAAGAGATTGACTCGGACACAGACTGCCAGGATCAGACCATATGTTTCGGGGGCTATTCTTAGAAATGTCACTTTTGACCAGGCGCGATACGACTCGTTCATCGCATTGCAAGACAAGCTCCACCAGAACCTTGCCCGGCAGAGGACGTTAGTGTCCATTGGCACTCATGACCTGGACACTATTAAAGGACCGTTCACTTATGAGGCACTTCCTCCCAAGGACATCCGCTTCGTGCCTTTGAATCAGACGAAGGAAATGGATGGCGAAGAGTTGATGACCTTCTACGAGGTAATATGGCCTGATTCTGTTGGCGAATTTCACCATTGCTAAAGTTAAAGCAATTCAGAAAGACAAGCATCTGGGGCGATATCTCCATATCATTCGAGACTCACCGGTCTACCCGGTCATTTACGACTCGAGACGTGTTGTGTGCTCGTTGCCACCGATTATCAACGGCAACCATTCAAAAATTACGCTCAACACTAAGAACGTGTTCATTGAGATCACTGCTCTTGACAAGACGAAACTGGAGATTGTGAACAAAATTATGGTCACTATGTTTTCTCAGTATACTGCCGAGCCGTTCACGTAAGTTTCGCTACCAACGCCTGTCTTTTCAGACCACTCATTCGGCAAACAATAGCGTCGAACCGGTCAGGATTGTTTCGGAACACAACAATGAGACCAGAGTGGTGCCGGATCTTTCACCGCGGACTACCCAGGCCGAGGTCTCTTATATTAACCAATGTTGTGGTCTGAATCTCTCGCCCGAGGAGATTTGTCGACTATTGAAGAGGATGGCTTACAATGCCAAACCTTCAAATGAATCTCCTAATCTGATCGACGTCGACGTTCCCCCGACCCGGGCGGACGTCCTTCATCAAGCGGATATCATGGAGGACGTTGCTATCGCGTACGGTTTCAACGAACTCCCGCGGTCCTTCCCCAGCAAGTCGGGGACCATTGCTCAACCGCTGCCGGTCAACAAGCTCAGCGATATCATCCGAACGGAGGCTGCTATGGCTGGTTGGTCCGAGGTGTTACCGCTGATCCTGTGTTCCCATGACGAAAACTTTGCTTGGCTCAACCGCAAGGACGATGGGCAAGCTGTTAAACTGGCCAACCCGAAGACGCTTGAATTCCAAGTGGTCCGCACCAGCCTCTTGCCTGGTTTGCTGAAGACGATCAGGGAGAACAAGCATCACACTGTTCCGATCAAGGTTTTCGAGGTCAGCGACGTAGCGTTCAAGGACCTGTCCTTGGAGCGCAAGAGTCGTAACGAGAGACACTTCGCAGCCGCCTGGTACGGCAAGACAAGCGGGTTCGAGGTTGTCCACGGGCTCCTCGACCGTATCATGGCCATGCTGAAGTGCACCTTTGTCACTGGCGAGAAGAACCTTGACAACCCGGCCGTGGCTAACTCGCACTACTGGATTGAGGAACTTGACGGTATGGAAGCATCCAGTTTTTCACACTGTCACATGCATTGCTGGAAACCTTTTTACTAATCTGATATATTTGCTACTTACAGATCCAACCTATCTCCCTGGCCACGCTGCGTCGATCCACGTGCGCATCGGGGGTAAGGAGCACGTCATCGGCGCCCTTGGGATCCTGCATCCGAGCGTGTTGGAGAAGTATGACCTCAAATACCCCGTCAGCACGCTTGAGATGAACATTGAAGTTTTCTTGTAAGTACGGAAGGGGGAGAAAAAAAATATATCACTATACAAGCGAAATATAAACAGACCAAAGAAAAAAAATGAAAGCGCAATGAGAAATGATAGATCAAATTCTAAGTGAGATATAAATATAAATCATGACCTTTCGCAATTTTTTTCAAAAAAAAAGTCTTGCAGTGAGTAAATAAATAAGGACAGCCCAAAAAAAAAGGTAACATGGCTTAGATATAATGATACGAAGTCACTATATAAAATATTCTACGAATGAATCCCTCTTTGCAACTATATATCAAATACAGCATATATATACTTATTACGTGTCTACGTTAAATAAGTTAAAATAACAGAGCATTTTTTTTCCCACTTTTTTTTTCTTTCTTCATTGGCCCTAACTTGGAAAAAAACCACTCTCTGCGCCCGTTCTCTCGTACATGAGTCAGGTAGTAGCGTCATCCATTCTCTCCCTCTCTTTTCTTTCTTTAAATGCATCCATCAGCAACACACTCCCCGCTGCGAGCCGATCAGATCATCCCAGAGGAGGATGGAGCGATGACCCTCTTAAGTAGGTATGTCTTTTCTCTTTTTTGATAGTCATCCATACCATTTTTCTTTCTCTCTCTTTCTTTTTTAAGTTATTGCGGGAAGTTTAGGTAGTAGCGTAGGTGAGGAGTAGTAGACATGATATGCAGAGGATTTAAGGGAGTAACATGACGAGAAAAAAAGAAAAAGAAAAGGAGAAAGGACACGAAGAAAGAAGGGAAAAAAAGAGATTACTCCTGTGCATATTGGTCCACACCCGCACCTTCCTGTGCCTCCGCTTCCTGCTGCTCTGCCAACCGCTGCTGCTCGGCGAGCTGCTGGGCGGCCAGAGCCTTGGCGCCGTAGTCCTGGCTGATCGGCTGCAGGACGGGCTGCTCCTCCTTGGGCTCGATGATGGTGACAGAGTCGGGCAGAGTCTTCTGGGGACCGGACTTGCCCTCCGGGTCGGCACCGCGCATGATCTTAACCTTGATACCCAAGACACCCTGGCGGAGGAGAACGTGACGAGTAGCGCTGTCGATGAAGTCCTTGGCAGGCTGACCGGAGTGGATCATGAAGCCGTCCTATTACAGCCCATGTCAGTTGATCCAGCGACGTTTATTTCCAACCCATCCAACAAATCAACCCCACCCCCAAAAAGTCGACTTCGAAGAGTCCCAGATTGATCCCAACACCAACTGACTATCCTGCTGGCGGAAATGCTAGACATACCGTGAACTTCATGCTCTTGGCACGAGCAGCGCGAAGCTTGCCGGAAACAACGACCTCGCAACCCTTGGCACCGCTCTCCATGATGAATCTCAGAACACCGTAGCAGGCCCGTCGGACGGCCAGACCGTTGAGCAGCTTGTAGCGGAGGGACTCGCACTGAGCGACGGCCGAGAGACCGCGGTTCTGGACCTTGGCGGCATAGAGGGAGACCGAGTTCTCAGGGAACTTGAATCGCTTCTGGATCAGGGAGGTGAGCTCGCGGATACGGCGACCTTGCTCACCCAGAACCTCCTGAGTGTGGGTAGCACGGATGACTGTGAAGAGCATCCGTTAGCATCCATTCAATTCCATTCCAATCTTCCTCTTCCAAATTTTTTTCTGGAAAACCGATGTCTCGCTTCCACCACACCAATCCCCCGCAAACCACATCAATCAAACGAAAAGATAATCGGGAAACGTACTGATGTCGGTGACGGTAGGAGTGACACGGACTTCGACGCCCGAGTAACCCTCCTCGGCCAGCTCGCGCTGGAAGAACTCGTTCAGCTCGGCGTAGAAGACACCGTCGGCGACGAACTTGCGGCGCTTCGAGATAGCTCCCTGGGTAGCAGCCATGGTTGCGGGTTCTGCTGGATTGGAGAGAAAGAAGATTGGCGTCGAAGGAAAATTCGGCCGGGGAGGTTTTGGAGGACGCTGGACGACTTGTAGGCGAGAGCTCCGGAGGTGCGGTAGAAATCCCAAGCCCGGCAGGTGATGTTTTCTGAGGGTTCGTTAGTGGGGGATTGCGCGCGTAGGGTTTGGGGTTTGCCCTCGCTTGTGCGCCGCGGCCGCTTTTCCTGTTTGGGCGCGGCCGCCATCGCGGATCCACCGGCGATAAATAACACTAGCAACGGCCGACAGCCTTACAAGATCGATCAGAACCAGACGACACGCTATTATAATTCTCAATTGCAGTAGTTTATATTCATAGCCATTCCAACACGGCTCGCCAAGGTATGCTCGATGCTCGAATCAAAACATGCCACACAATTTACTCTACTAGACCATGCCCATCCGAATCAATGCAGTCCCGTACGCCGATGCTTCCCACAGGTATCCTTCATAACAGGCTCTAAGCGTCGAATCACCGCATCTCGACTTCCATATCACCAGTACGACTGCCAGCCATCTTGCTCTCTTGACTGCTCTCCTTCTTGGGCAGTCCCAGGCTGGACAGTCCAGCCGTGATAGCCGCCATCCCAGTGGGAGCCGTATTACTAGGCGTGCCACTGCCGGCGGATTGATCTGCAGTCTCGACTCTTGAAACTACAGGCGTATTTCTACCAGTGGGAGTATTTCGGCCAGAGCGACTTGGCCCCTGTACTCGAGGCCCGTTCATCTCGGCATCTGTCCGACCAAAGACCTCACTCCACCATCGGACTTCGTTCGTCCGCGGGAAGATCAGACGCTCCTTGCCTCGCTTGTTGTCGTCAATAGTAGGGTCGTACTTGGGATTGATGAATTGCTCCCTCCGAGCCAAAAAGTACTCCCACACGCTCCGGGTCCTTGCCTTGGCATTGGCTTCCACCCGCTCTTTCTCACTGTTAAAGAGGAAGGTACCGTACTGGCATGAATAGAGATGATAGAGGAGCCGCCGTAGAAAGCGTTCGTTGAATTCGAACCGGGTAGGATACTGGTACAGGAGTTGGTAGGTCGCGTCAAGGAACTGGTGAAAGACCGGACTGGTCTCTTTGACCTTGGTGACCTCCTTTTCACTGATTGCCGTCCTCGGCGGTATCGTTTTTCTCGGTCCTGGGCCCTCATGATCATAGGCGTGTAGTTCTCCATCAGAGTCGGCGAGAGAGTCCTTACTGGAGTTGTCCCGGTTGAAAAAGCCTTTTGCACTTAGGAAGGCATTCTCTAGGGCCTTCCCAGGCCCGCCGGAATCTCCGAACCCTCGATTCGAGTCTCCTCCGATCCTGTCGTTTTCTATTTGAAACCACTTTTCGCTGTTTAACAGACCCGATCTATGGCGGAACATGTGGCCGAATGCCAGCCAGTCCTTCTCGACCAGAACCATAAAGCCTTCTAGCGTTCTGTAATACGGGTCTAGACATAGTTGACTGAGAGCACTGAGCTGGCTCGTACGATCCCAGCCATCCGAACAATGGATGAGCACATGCGAATGCTGGAGGCCCACCTGGCGAGCAATCAGGCCTGCCCCATCTAGGATCGCAGCGATATGCTTCAACCATCCACTCTTAGCCAGAAGCTCCCTGTTGGGACCCAACGGGGTGACATCCGAATCCTTCAACGCCTCAACGACTTTGTTCAAGGACTCTCTCATCACGTGAATGTTATCGATACCAAGATACGCCTTGGTGGCGAATTTGTAATTGTCCATATTTTCAGACCCTAGTCCAACCGCCTGCATCGCATATGCGTTGACGGTAGGCCGGGCGTCAACTATGAGGTTGCGCTGTTGGGCGCCGTAAATATGCGGCTTTTCCTCCCGGCCTCCTCGAGCGGAGGCCACCATTTCAGCTTCAAATTCTTCCGAATTTGTCAATTCACAGTCCGGGTTGCTACCAGCAGGCGCTTCCTCTAGACTTGAATTGGTGGATTCCTGTTCAGGGTTCGGAGAAGCGACATTTGCCAACGGCCTCTCCGAGCGGGAAGTAGAGAATATCGCCGCCAATAACTTCTCATCTTGGATGCTTCGATTCTGCCGTACACCGACAAGGGGCTGTGAACTTCTTGTAATCGAGCAGTTGTTGACGGGATGAAGATATGTAAGCACGGGTATTCGCGCTCTCGAACGGTATCTTCCCGCATAGTTGATCGTATTATCGGATATTGTCGCTGGGACAGGTAACAGGGCCGGATAGGTCGGAGAAAACTGCGCGGGTCAGCAACGCTCCCGGGATATTTGAAAAGAGACACGACGAGAGCATACAGTGTAGTCGGCATTGATCTGGGAAATCCGCCATCCGGTATTGGACCCCTCCTTCCCTATCCCTTGGCGAGCCCACTCCTTCCTGGCGTCGTACAGCTCCCACCCATTGATATCTCGCTCCGGAGCCGGGGGCTGATACGTGAAAGCGTAGAGCTTATCGACTCGCCCCACCTTGCATGTCCATTGCTTGAGGGTCTCATAGACATCGCGCGCCTTAGACTCGCTGGCGAAGTAGAAGCAGACGAAGGTAAAGTCACGGCACCGCAGTCGAATCGACGATGGCTGTCTGGATACAGCTGGCGCAGGGCGAAAGGTGCAGAAGGAGATTATAGGGTAGGTGATCCATAGTTCTCGCGGCCTGATAACTGTACCCTGCGCTTGCGCTTCATCTGACACGTGAGGAGTATGCGAGAAGATGAGATGGTGCGGAGTCAAGTGAAGCGTGCCTGTAACCTGCTCGCCACGTCGTGCCAGGGTAACATTTTCGACCTACAACCATGAAAAGAAAGGGTCAGACATGGGAGAAAGCATAAGGCAATGATTGCATTGAAGACCGACCTTGGCTATCCGTGTTCTTTCCATGTCGGCAGCTGTCACAGAATCCACAGAACCTTCATTGTTAGAGTCGCATGAATCTGTTCACTGCATGAATGATGCAGATCCAAGGAAAGAAAGAAATAGTCCAGTAAATGAAAACGTCCTGACAATATGAATGGAACAGTATCTCAAGCAAAAAGAGGTATGTCGTGTTAATCAGCAAGGTGTGTCCACTGTCCAGTGATCCAGCACTTGTGGAACCGGTTGGCGCCCCTCGCTACGTCAGTTTCCTGCCGTGTGGGCCTGCGCCATGCGCCCGGAGGCTCAGCAAGTCCAGAGTATATGGCGTCTTCTCTCGAAGCACATTACTTACGGTTCTACAATCACTATGTGGTGATACTTAATATAGACTTAATATAGATACAGGGTCATCATTTTGTATCGCCTTTTCATCACTGTATATTGTACACATAAATGGTATAAGACAATGTCCAAAGAAGAAAAAATTAAATCTATAGTACAACCAGGCTGAAGGGGGATAAACGCCTTTATGCAGAGTCTGTTAACCGAACCCTACCCAATTCAAACGCCATTTTGCATGCAGTACGATAAAAAGAATGGAACTCTTTTTGCAACATCTCCTCCTCTGACAAGCCCTTGTTGGCGTCAAGGGCGGACGAACGACTGGCCCGTATCACGTCCATGCCAAGGCTGAGATGAGTTGTCTGCTGGGGAAAAAGAGGCCCGCCTTCGGGATACCCATAGCTAAGCTTCTCTCCCAGGAAATCGTATAGAAAAATGCGAGTCCCTTCGAAATGGTTCACCGGGGGAAACATGTATTCCCCGCCTATACTGCCTTCCACCCCATTAATTGAGTCGGCGGAATTTGAATGCGTAGAAGCAGTCTGTCTATCGCCGCTTGGTAGGCACTTTTCAACAACTTTCTTCGGTAGTTGTAGATGACAAAACGGGGGTAGAGTAACGTGTGGATTTGTTCTGTAGTTGACGACAAGTTGCTCCAGGCATTTCTGGATCTCTGCCAGAACGGCTTCGCCGTCAGAGACTTCAGCACCACTTTCGGGGGTATTGTGAGGAGAAACGAGGAGATTCCGATAGATTGTCCTCGTGAAACGAATGTCCAGCCCAGTTTCAGGAAGCAGATAGTCAATACTGTTCTCCTTGACAACTGCTTTCACTTTCTTCACGACTAGATCCGAAGCAGACGGAGTCCAATCATCTCCAGTTCTTATCCCGAACTCCAGCTCGAGTGGAGGCATGGGATGTGAATTCGTGCTCGATGGAGTCAGTCTGATTCGGTGAAGCTTTTGATCATCACTGCCTGGGAATGGAGTCAAAAGCCGTAAGAACCGTGAAATCTTGGGAATGTTCCCTGTGAAAATCCGAGGCAGCGATAGTTCACCAAGACGAGCCGCACTGACAGTCGTCTCATCCATTGCGGGTCGACGTAGGAAAAGACATTTCCCGACAGTGGCAGTCAAGGTTTCCTCTACGTCATCTTCTGCGGGGCCTGTATTCGCATTTGACGTGCCCCGTAGCAGTCCCAGAATATCAGAAGACAAACGCGAGTGATGCTGTTCGAAAAGTGGTGGAGACGACTTGTCAGAAGTATCACCTTGAGCCGATTCCACGGACCATCTGAACCACTGCTTCCGCCTATCAACCCATGAGGTTGCGCCTTCTGTCTTCACCGCATACACGTTTGCCTCCTGGGATGCTGGCACATAGGTACAGAAGGGTACAGGAGCAGCAGCTCTTGTGAGATTAGCAAGTTCCAGATCCCTTCGCGCCCTGTCCGCCATTTCCTTGTTGTCTGCCGGATAGTAGATCGTGCCTTTGGATCGACGGCCCTCCCTTTTGCAAGAAACGCCGTACGACCTGTCCACCCAGTCCAAGAATTCGGAACTCGACGGATCGCAGTTACCATCTCGGAGGGTGTTGAGGAAAGATAGGTCAATAGATTCCTCGCGAATCCGATAGACGAAGTCGTCTATGAGTTCGCGGATTGATTCACAGGCACTCTGACTGCCAGTGATCCTAACGAGATTCAAAGAATGGCTAACATCGATTTTTGCTTCATGGGAATGTGCTAGCTCCTCGAACGAGTAGCGGTCGGATGTGAGGAGCAGGGAGATTGCATGGGATGGCAGCTGAACGTCAAGCTGGCCAACTTCGCCCGCAACACCGAGTTGCCAGCAATCTCGAAGGATCCGTTCAGAAAGCAATTTCTTTCCATTAAGATCCTGATATCTCGCCACCCTGCTCGACATGTGTTCCTGGTTTTCAGAGTCCATGTCCAAATAGAATGATTTGCCTGGCTTCCACGTCCCATGTTCACCAGTTTGATCTTGTTGATCACTTTGCTGCGATGTGAGACTGGGTCGCTGAAACCGAGAAATATATTCTGACAGCTGATCGGAGGTAAATGACTGCTCGACTTTTTGGCGAAGCTTCATCCAATCCTCGTGCTGCAACTTATCACCCGGTTGATACATCAAGCGCAGATTTTCCATGTGGACGGAATAGTCTGTGTCAGGCGGCGCATTCAGTTCGCTGTCCAGCTCCCCCATAATGTAGGGAAGACCGTCGATTTTCGGCTTTTGGTCAGCCACATTCTGAACTTTGGACTCTGCTTGTCGTCGGCGTTTCCGATGCGGTACGACAAGCACCTCTGCAGGCTTGCCGAGGGCATCGACATCGAGAACCTTTTTATGGTCATTTGAACGATCCTGGGGCCTGCGCAGATACAAGGAATGCCGTCGGCGGTCTGACCGCTGGCCAGTATCGAAGCGAATGTCATCGTCATCGTCATCGATCGCGGAGTGGTAGTGAGAAAGCGCGCCGCGCCGGGAATAGACGCTGGGAACGAGCGCCTCTCTGCATGAGGTCGCTAGGCGAAGTCGTAGAGAGCCGACTGCATGTCTTGCAGACCTGACAAACATGTGGAACCAAGACAGACACTGGTCCCAGTGTCTGGAATAACCCTTCCTTATCGGAGTGAAGCTGCCCCGGATTGCTTGTACGAGCGGAAGTTTTTATTACAAGCTTGGAGTACCAAACCACGCTAACCGTAACAGGAAATATGCCTGAGGCCTACATTTACCTACAGTTGACTATCTACTTTTCCCAACATGAAGTCGTAAGCATAATTAAAACTATGGGATGTTTAAAACGTGTCCAATGGTACTGCGGTATTCGCAAGAGTGATACTATAGCCGTTGACGCAATAGTAGTGGCATGATGCACTGTACCAAAGCAGAATTGACTGTGCCTCTCCCTTCCTGCCAGAAATCGCATTAGCAGGAGTGGAAGCTTCATGGCAGCCTTGGCTGCTCACTCATTAGAGAAGTGACTCTTAGCTTGTTATGTATATAACATTATTTCTAGCTCATGATTCCATTTTCAGGACCTTTCTATCTACATTCTTATTCCGACGATCTGCGACAATCACCTCCGTCACGTTCCAGTCTTCATCTCCCCGGTTCGGTATCCATGGTTTCAGGACGCGCTTTGCGTCTTGCATGGCTAACTTCCGTAACCGTAGATGTGGCGGTAACTGTATTGGTATTGAGGAGCAGCCATCTTCTTCTTCCAGAAATCCTTCAGAAGGTCTTTTGAATTGCTCGTATGATGGCGCTTCAAGGATTGTTCGCCATGGACGTGAATAGCTGTCCCTTTCATTCGTTTTCAGGCTCGTCGAGGCATCTCCCCTGTCATCAGATACAACGGCAGCATTATCATGATCATTATCATTATCAGAAGGAGGAGACAATATCTTCGTGACGATGTCACGGAGGAGATTCCACATCTTCGCTCGGGAGAGGACAGAGGAACCTCGTGCGGTGATCGAGGCAGCTTGGTTCCCTTGCTTGACACCATTGATGATTGTTTCAACGAGACCGGTGGTCGTCGCAGCTCTCACCTTATGCTTTTTCGCTTCATTCTCTGACCCGCTTCTCATCTGAAACGGGACCTGGGAAGAAGAAGAAGGGGCTATGACCCACACGGCGGAGATGTTGCTAGGCTTGCCACTGTTCTTTTTGCGGCCTTTGGATGATGTCGGTATGACTTCTGCCTTCTTTTTCCCGTACGGCCATAGAGCTTCCACGGTTTCAGTCGGGACAGAGAGAACCTCGAAAGGCCGAAATCGATATCCGTACTTCTCGTCTGACCGACATCCGTCGTTTCGCCACCATCGGCACGCCAGTTCTCTCATCCTCCCAGTCGGACCTGCACCAAATGCTCTGTCGCATGCAACACAGCTGATCTCTTCCTCTGGCAGGATAAGCCCGGCCAGATACGCGTTCTCCGTGGGAGCGACGAGGAGACTGGCAGGGTATGAGAGCAGAGAGGTCACCTGGCGCAGGGCCAGTTTATCCGAGCACGATTTGCTCAAAGTCGACTCTGCGTCCGCACGGGCAGGTTTGCGACGGACTACACCCAGGATGGAGAAGTGCGCACGACCGTCCAAGAGATTTTGAACCGAGGGAATGTTAGATGTCATGCCTTCGTCGGTCTGGAGTTCCGGTTTGGGGGTCACGGCCCACGGTGTTGGGTCCTCCTGGGCGGCCATGCAGAGCTCCATGCTGGCATCACCACAGGGGGCGCAGGTGCAATACATGTAGATCTTGACATCGGGGCAGATCTCGAATGGCGGCCAAAAGTCGCGCGACTCGTGGCCTGACTCTGAGGAAGTCTGCCGGGGCCTTCTCCGGACAAATGGAGAACCGTCGTTCGTTGAAGACGATTTCCCATCTTTCTGAGAATTATCTGCTTGCTGTTCATGACGAATAATGGAATCGCATTCGCTCAAAACCCAGTAGTTAAAAGCGCGAATGGCGAGGATTTCTGCATGGCAGTCGTGGAGCACCAGTCCTCGACATCGCGGAATATGAGAGGAAGAAAGACATCTCGCACCGGTTCTGGAGTAATATTAGCTTGAGAAGCAATAATTAGAAGTAAAAAAAAAGGAAGCTTATGAAGGACATACGTAACCGCCACACAGGTTAGCGTCTCTGAAGGCGTATCCTCTCCTTTTGTCCGTAGTTAAGAAGGTCCGTCAGTACTTTTGTTTCTACTCATAGCAGTTATGCAGAAAAACTGCCACTAACAGCAATAAAACTTATGCAAAAATTAGGCAATAATTTCTGAAACGAATATCAACGAGACAATCAGTCAACAACTGGAAACAATTCTGCATTTGAGACACATCCAACTAAATGTGCATAATTCATATAAATTCATTACAAAAGCCATAAAAATATATATATGGGATATACAAAAACACACACCTTTTACAACAACGATCCCGCTCATGGGGATCCATTCCCGTGACCCATCCTCCCTAATCGTCGGTTTGCACCGAGAGGGCAGAGCGTCGAAATGTGCATGGACCAGGGCAGCTATGCGGGATGGTAGCGAGGCGTGCGGAGGATTCGGTTCTGGATCTTCCATCAAGAAAAAATTTTTTTTCCTGTTTTTTTTTCTTTTCCTGCTATTATATATCGATTTTATTGAGTGGTTTGGAAATTATATTATAATATTCATTGCAGAGGTAGGTTCCTGGATTTGATACCTAAAGTGGGTAGTGGTAGTAATAAGTTTGAAACTCGGTCTCTCATTGGATGTCGAGTTAAGTGGCAGCTCTAGTCACGTGGTCGATATCCGCAGAAGAAGATCTCTATCTGACCTCGAGATCAATCCATCTAATAATACGTCTCCGATCGTCCCTTCCTCATCTGCCCTCCAGCAAACCAACATCACTTGATATCATATCTACCCTGACACTATTATCAAAAAGTCCCTACAATGGCCGACAAGCTCCGCACGCTCCAGAACCTTGAAGCCCTTCAGGCGCGGTACGTCGGAACGGGTCACGCCGACACGACCAAGTACGAGTGGACGTCCAACATCATCCGCGACAGCTACGCTTCGTACATCGGTCATCCGCCCATACTGAGCTATATGGCTATTGGGATGGGCGAGCCCAAGGAGAAAGTACGGGCGGCGATGATCGAGAAGATGGTTCGGGGCGCGGGGAATCCGCCAGAGGTACGTCTTTCCCTTTCTCTTACACCTCTCTCTCTCTTTTTTTTTTATTGTTTCGTGACAAGTTCGTCATGGGCAGAAATTGTTGACCTTGTTTCTGTGCAGCCACAAGAATAATTTATGAGACATGCATATCATAGCTTGGATCCTTCGGTCTTACGTCTGGGCCGAACTGGGACTCCTTTCCCCATCCATCTGTCGAATTCAAGCATATGGACTGGGGCCAATTTTTCTGCAGACTCGGTGACAAGTCGATCAGCTGCAGCTGTCAAGTTATCTCAACTCGAACTACTGGGCAATTAGCTAGCTAGCTACAAGATGAGCTAGTTGGTCGCTTCTTCTGGAGGGAAAGTCTCGGAACTCCCTCCATTTTGATCTAGAAGCCAGCCCGTCATTGCGATCTGTCTGCGCATGCACTGGCATGATCAAATACGAGAATAGGACCTAGTGAGGGGAAGGGGAAAAAATACGCATAGCTCCGGGGGGTGATGCTAAGTCAAGGTTTACCGCCGCTCTTCTACGAAGCAGAGAAACCTGTTGATCTACCTCACTCTACTACGGTCCTCTTGCCACAGATGTCGGTCGCAATGAAGGGGTGGTCAACAAGGCTTCGAAGGAGAGGGATATCATATCATACAACACAACCTCAAGAGAGGAATGATTGTTTTAACAGTAGGGCCAGGTCCTGTTAAACAAGGAGGAAAAAATGGGACAAAAATGGGACAAGACAGACATGTCAATCATAAAAACGTGTATGTACTGCTCATTATCGCTATTATGGTAATGGACAAAAAAATTCATCAATTCATCAGTCAGTTAATTTATCATGCAATGTTCCCAGAATGAGACAAGTATCAGAACCTCGACGCCGGAACCAAAACTAAAACCCAAAGCCAACTCAAACCTGAACGTTTCCAGACGTTCAGTATTTACAGTAGTAAAAAATAGTTTTATGTGTATGCATTGAGTCAGCCAGTTAGTCAGGAGTAATGCAACTGGCCTGTGCAGATTAAAGGATGCAGGAAGGACTCTGTATGTATGTATTGCACTCCACTGTGCATAGTCTGTCAGCTGTTAATCGGTCCCGTAGCCCTCTTTGCTCGACAACCCCCTCAAGCTCGCACTGCTATTTGCAGCCACGAGCCTGGTGTTTTCCCGCTGGAGTCGTCCGACCAGATCGAGCCATCGCCCCCGCTCATCGCGGAGTTCCTGCACCTGTCTCCTGAGATCGTCAACTTCCCGGCGCAGGTCTTCGATCTCCGACCGCGAGCGTGCTTTCTCCCTGCGTTGCGCCTCCTTGCGCTGGCGTAATTCGAGCTTGTTCGCGGTTTTGAGTTGTTGCGCTTCGATCTTGTGCAGTTGGGAGACGAGTTTCGATTCGGTCCGGGACAACTGCGCATGGCGTTTCTGGTCCTGGACTGCCGCCTGGGTTTGGGAGTGGGTTTGGGCCTTTTTGTTGCCGTTCTGCCTGGTCACGTTGCTGCTGGTGCTGGTGCGATCACTATCGGGTCCGCTTTCGAAGTCATGCACTGCGGGATGACGACCAAGAGATTCGATTTCTGAACGGACTGTCCTTAATTTGGTTTCCACTTCTTTCTTGCGGGATGCGAGCTTAGCGAGCTCCTTCTCGTGGGATGTTATTTTCGACTTGCGATCACTGCTCTGGGCAAGCGCCTCTGTACTGTCCTTGGGGCCGTTGGAAGAACCTCCAAGAGATATGGATGATTGAGAATGACCCCGGTGAGCAGTCGACGGAGGCACAGCATCGCCCGAAACGGATACGTCCATGTTGGAGTCTGCGCTGGTAAAACTATCGTCGCTCATCAATGAAGCACCGTTATCATCATCTTGGGCGCTCCCCGAATAGGCCATGACTGGCACCGTTCTATTTCCGGACTTACTCTCGGACTGTTGTGGTGAATGACCAGGAATATAATTCAGAACCGCTCGAGGTGCATAGCTTTCCATCGTTTGGATTATGCTGCTGACGCTGGCCCACAAACCATTTTCTGTCTGCGGCTCATCATCATCGTCGTCGTCGTCGTCATCGTCATCATCAGTCCAGGCTTCCGCAAAATTGCCTATTGATTCATTGAGCTGCTTCACTCTTTTGCTGTCGGCCTGCACATCTTCTGCCCCGTCGATACCTGCCAGGCTTCCATTCATCTCAAGACTGCTGATGCTTTCCCTCCGTTGATTTTCAACGTCGCCAGACACCACATCTGGCTGATCCGGTTGTGATGCCCAGTTCAAAAACTTCGCAGCATCCACTGCGATACTTCTCGGGGTTCCCCGTTCCACCATCCATTTTGGTACGCTGCCACCAGGATCGCTCCGAGTGATCATAATCCACTCCACAGGATTTGTAACGACTTCGTCATCTTCAGTCTCCCCCTCTTGCTGGTCCTTCACTGCAGTCTCTGTTTGCCCTCTATTTCTGCTCGTTGGAGCGCTGTGTGGTGCTGATCTATCCGAGGCGCAATCTTGTAGCTGATCCTCCGAACGAGTGTTCCCTTGATAATTAAGATGAGCAGGCAAGGAAGCGGCGCGTGGTGGTGCCGGACGTTCGTGGACTTTTGTTTTGGACGAAGTCTTTTTCGCGCTTGACTTCACCGGTATTTCTCTGATGAGCTCCACAGATTCGTATTGTCCTCGTATATAGCCTCCACGTGGCGGCGCATCTGGGTGATCGCAGGGTTTCGAGACGATGAGATAGCTTCGCGGTAGCTGGGTGTCGTCATGATCATCCAATGCTCTGTCTGTCGTGATCATGAGCGTTACGAAGTCGCGTGGTGTCGTGGGACCCGGGAATTGAGCGGAAAGCTGGTACACTTCAATGTGTCCCAGCACGCCTTCTCGACTTGCATCGCGAATTTCGACCATCTCCAATTTTCTGTCTCCGCCGATGCCCCGGATACTCGTTCCGGGAGTCTGGCCCTGCCTTATCTCCTCTTGTCTCGCCTTCAGGGTCTCCTCCATCTCCACCTGCATTTTTGCTTTCCACCTGCTGAACGGTAGGCCCTCGTGGATGCTGCGACGAGCAAACCATGCACCCTTGCCATCCCTCCCATTAAGCTTGTATATAGAAATACCAAGGGGATTCTCCTTTGCATTGTTTATCTTGATTGGCTTTCCCCATTCCTTTTTCAATGACGCGAGCTGCGGGGCCGATACTGGCGACTTCAAGTCAAGATGACTGCGGGATATGCATGGTGAGGAAGGCTCCGGGACCGTCTCGACGATCAATCTTGAATCTTTAAATATCTTAGCGGTGTATGCTCGCAATTCGTCCGGCGAATTTGTAGGAATGGCGTCCCAGGAAACCGGGGCCAGACTTCGTAGCGCTTCGTGCAAGGCAGCCATTTAAGTCTGTCCTGTCTGTAGGACCTTGATCAATCAAACAGCCTCCAAGAACCAAGCTTCTTCTGGATTCGTTTCACTTGGCTTCAGCTTCTTCCTTTTGTGGAGCTAGGGAAGAGGACAGGGCACGATTCGAAAGAATGGGGAAGAAGAGAATCAACGAGGCAGCTAGACCCGTAGGTAGCTGCACTGATGCGATGCGATGCGATGATTGATTAATGTCAATGTTTCTTTCTCGGTTCTCACTGGTAAGACGCAGCAGAATGCATCTCCTCTTTACGGCTCGACTGGACTCGGCTCTTCGCTAGGACAGTCACTATGTTCTTTTTTCGCTTCTGGAGGGAATTTTGATTTAAACAAACAATTGATATGAGAGACTTGTTCGCTAATCTCGCAGACTGTGACAGGCGCATGTGCTGTATGTTCACGTATGTACCTCTCTGCCTTAGTTAAGTAGGTAACTATTAGGCAACACCCCTCGTCTGTCGTAAGCGGCTTGCGCTTCAGAAAAGTATGAACAAGGGACAAACGACATCGAAGAAAAGTAACAACAAACAAGAACTAGTTAAATGAGGGGATTCTTAAGCGCGACGGCTGTGCTGGGATGCACCCACGTCCATTTTCCTCAGCCTCGATAGGACTACCTAGTACTAGGTAGACTGCCTTTCTTGGCAGCCTAATGCTCGACGTCATCGTTGATCGTTGGTTGATCTAATTTAAGTTCCCTGCCGCCGAGCTCCGAACCATTATAGGAAAGCACCTGGATTAGGTAGGTAGTATGGAGTAGGTACCTACCTTGACTTTTCCAATGTTTGCTCCTTAGGTTTAATTTAATTTTAAGCACATTGTTCTTTGTTAAGGTATCCTTTGTATATTCTACAATTCTGTAAAAAATGAGAAAATAAAAAAAAGATACCTATACGTTGGCTTGCCAGAGGCTTTTGGCCCCCGGCGCCAAATACTAATTAAGGCACATTCAACATGTTAGTCAGTCCTTGGGCCAATGCTAATTCTTGCCATAGTTAGGTACATGCTATAAATTTCTTGCAACTTAATTATAACAGTGTCCTAATAATCAGTGCAGGCTGTACTTGTAGGCGTAGCCGCTGCGCCCACTTTGTAGTCCTAATTTTAGCAATTGGTCTGTGCACCTCCACTCCGTAATTCGACCCGCTATGCTAAAGTATGGAGAATGGAGTAAAAGCTAATGGTTCGATTTATTTATTCAATTGTCCGTTCGTAAACTGTGAGGGGAGCTTTCGATTCATTCTGCTATCAATTGATTGTTTTGACTATCCAAATTAGATTTGATTTCAAGCTACATACAGACGAGACAAAAATGTAAGAAAAAGGAAAACAGGACAAATACCCCAAAAGACCTGCTTTCAAGGGGTCTTCAGAAAAATTGAAAAGAATGAATGATAGTGTCTGTGTCCAGCATCTTATTCTCGACTTCAAAACCTCTCCCCCTGTGAGAGGGTGAAGCACGAGCACCTCCAGGAATTTTCGAAGCAAAAAAACCAGCCTGGAGAATAGGAGATGACCCTATTGTATGATATTGAACTACGCTCCGGCCGTTTAGGCAGATCGCAGTCACGAAGGCCCAACGTCTGTGTCGCTGGTGGGGAGGGGGAGGTCACAGACCTTCGCCTTCCTCCGACCCGTCAATTGAAGGTCCATCACAGATGAATATTATTGACTCCCCAGAGACACGATGAGCCTCCATCAACCGTGTCATGCTTTATCAAACCGGAGCGCAGCCAATAATGCGGCATGTGCATTGCATACCAGATGTCAACGCATGAACCGCGCTGTCGCAGATCGACCCTTCACCAATCTATTTTCAAGATTGCCAGTCCAATACACAGTATCGGAAGTGAAGCCGGGTAGCGGCGGTAATGACGACAGGAGTGTCGCTGGATCGAGTGATGGTCCTGGCCATGACATCGTCACAGTGTCCTCCCTTTGCCACCAACGCCCAGAAATGCGACAGCAGAAATGAAAGGAACAAAAAGTCGTGCAAATCATATCCAAGCCGCGAGGCAAACCAGGTCTTGATGACATAAATGTGGGATCCACAAACAGAAACTTCCGTCAAGGGAAGGAATAACTCAGATAGCCGACCCGCCGGTTCTTATGCAATGAAAATCACAACATCAACGCTTGCTGAAACACACAAACAGAAAAACAGAGATGACAAGATAGTGATGCGACCGAATTATGTTGTGTATATATATGATGGAAGGGGGGGGGGAAGGAGGAGAACAAGAGGGAATATCACGATATCTCGAATGTCGATCAACGCTAACGCCGTCATAATGCCGTCGGATGCTGATGCCTGCATGCAAAATCGTCCGTGTCGTCGGCGGGGCCCCGTCTCTCGTAAAGATTAGCGTAAGATTCTTCGGTTGTAGGGTTTGTTTCCAAGAAGCCAGCTCCCAGGTCTCGCAGAACACCTCGCTATGGTTACGCATATGTAATATATATGAAGCGTGAAGGTGTTAGCGAACCACTACATGGTCGTTCCGTAAGACAATGCCAGGTCCTGGTAGCGGTCCCCCCAACCAAACCCAGCCATATTCGCCGCAGTACTGCAGGGCTGAACGAGCATGCTCGGTAGGGGAAGCGCCGCGAGGGCAGCCATGGTCGTTGGAGCGCCGTCGACCTGGGGCGCGTTGTAGGCAGACGTAGTGTAGGGCTGGCTGAGCGAGGGCGCCGGAGATGGCAATTGAGCTTCGTTCAGCGGAAGACCGGTCCACATATTGGGATTCGTATCGCCAGTTGAAACTGGACTGGGGCTCGACGGAACAACTTTCCAGGGTTCCACTGGCACGGGCTGGGGCTGGGGCTGGATCGAAGTCGACCACCAGTCCTCGGGCACCGTTGAACTGGGCAGCAGAGGAGCGGGCCGAAGGACGTCCACGATCCGGGGAGCAGGTGGAGGAGGAAGCAGAGGCACAAAGAGACTCAGGATGGCAGCCTTGGCTTCTTCGCTTCGACCACACAGCAACTCACCCGAGCCATCCTCTTCCAGCCCCTCCAGAGCCTGGACGTGGGTGCGAAAGATGAACTTGTTGACAGCCTGCACGAACTCCTCTTGCAGCTTCTTCAACTGAGCTTCCTTGTCGGGCCAGTCCCAGGTGCTCGCGGCCGTGTCCACCGAGTAGACCTCTTTGTGAAACTCTACCAACGCCTCGATCGTCTCAGGAGTCAGTTTGAAAGCAACTTCGTTCTGCGAGACCATGTCGACATGAACAACATAGGCTTCCATGTGGATCATCTGATAGTTGAAGATGGCCTCGACCAGGGGGTTCTCGTCTTTGCGAAGCTCGGCGTCGGGGGCCTTGGGGAACATCAGGGAGCATAGGGTCCAGATAGCGTTGGGTAAAGAGAGCGTCTCTGTCAGGCATTTGGTATGCTGCGTCACATTGTTCAAAGGCCTCTTCACCCGGTTGACTCTTTTGAGGGTTGCCGTCAGCCATGGCTCTACCTTGGAACCCAACACCACATTGGGAGCCCCCCGGGGCGCAAATGCAGCCGCCGAGGCGGGCAGCAGGACCGTTGGCATTATGACTATGCGCCAGCAAGACCGAAGGCGATGCGCAAAGTGGAAACGAAATTCGCTTATATGATGACGACGAGATATGCGTGAAAGAAAGAAAAGAAAAAGGAAGAAGCGAAATTACAAAGGCGACATTCGCCCACCCAAGTCGTTGTCCAGATCGCTGTGGTTGCTCAGAGATGAGTAACAAGGTTTAGTCGGCGCCACGAGCGATGATCGTCTGGTATCAAAATAGAGGCGTCAATCAGCTGCGTGGAGGTGGGAGCAGGTGAGAGTGATGCGGTGGATGAGATGGGAGAGAGGCTCGATGTGGTATGGGCGAATGCGCGCAGGATTAAAAAAGAAAAACAGGAAAGGGAGAGAACATGGAAAAGAAGGAAGAGGGTTGAAGGAGGGGGACGGAGGTGGGAGGGCGAGGATAGCCAGAAGAGGCAATAAGGAGACGGCGGCTGGGGGAGGACGGCGGGATGGTTATTATACAGACTGGGAGGCCAGGCAGGGTAATGCTCCGTAATGTGTACCGTGCGCCTGGCCATGACGGGCAGCGCTGGGAACAGCGGAGCCCGTCGACGTGCATTGCAGCACCGTTGCTCAAGTGGCATGCAACGCGCAAGATAGCGCGATGGCAGCGCCGATGGGACGTCGCCTGTCGTCGGTATTTCTTTCGCCCGTACGGCGGACGAGCGCCCACACTGGCGATAGTTACGGTAATCCGCCCGTATTGAACGTCGATCTACAGCTTGCATTGGGGGGCAGCAAGCCATCATCCATCCACCATCATCCGGCCCGTGTGGCGGCTTGCATTAAGCCGACGTCAGGATTAATATGAATTCAGCAAGCAGGCGCCTGCAGAAGCAAGAGCTGCCGTGTTAGAGAATTAAGCTGTGGGCGGGCGCCTATTCGAGCATGCGGACTCGCGAAGGCGCTGGGGTTGAAACAACTGTATGGGGTTGCTGTCCCACAGTGCAGCCTGCAGACTCTGGACGGCTGCACGGCGCATACGGTGGACAATGCTGGTCTCTGCAGCCTGCTGGAGGGGATGCAGTGTTCATCTACTCTGGCGTTGATGCTGGGAAACACTGCCACGGCCAGTCTACAACAGCGCCAAATGGGAAGGAGCTGTAATGACACCGTCTTCTCTGCGCATGTTATAGGGGAAAGAAGAAAGAGAAATTTTGTGCTGAACAAGGAAAGACCGGCCCGCCACCCGATTACCACATACAGGCAAGGCCATGATCGCGGCGTAGCGCTACTCAGCATCGTACGGAAGATGCAGCAGAGCGCTAAGCCCCGGTGGCGATCGAATCCACAGGGATGGGCCTTCTCTGTGCGTCTTCCACAAGACTTCCGATCATCGGTATTATCAAAGCTGGAGATACACCGAAGTTGCTACGATGCAGAGATGCGTTCTTCGAAAACGTCGCCCAAGTTGGGCGCGCGCGCTTCGGGTATTCGACCACGAGGCCTGGTCACGAGGCGCTGGCGGTGGCAAAAGATGGATCTTGAGCAGAAAAGGAGGTCAATGGGACCCGCCGGCAGAAGACGCAGACATGTCGGTAGTTAACTGACTACTGAAAATACTCCACAAGTCAACAGCGACGTTATCGGCAGTCTCTAGTAGGATAGCTGAGACCACCCCCAACGATCGGATTGGAAACTCGGGAGATTGCCATCTACATCCTGGCTTGCTTTCTGCTGGGGCTGCTAGTGGCAAGGAAAAGAAATCGTCTGCCTGGACCAAGCGCCCGGTCGAGGCAATCGAGATTGGAGTCGTGCTTGGGATACGGCCTCGCAGTGGACAAATATGGAGATTGATCCGACCAAACGGCGAAAACTTGGAGAGCCTTTTCTTTTAGCTCACGCCAAGCACAAACGGTGGTTGATAGGTTAGCCTTTGGAAGTTCGAATAGAGTCTTGGAACCCGTCCTCCCCGATCCAGACTCGGAAGAGAGCGCAGAGACGAGCAGCGATGAATGAAGGTTCGCGGGAGCAGATCCATGGGTTTGCCGACAGACTTTTGAGTAACGATCTAGGCTTGGTCGAGTCCCACACATTACATACGCAGGAGCCGTTGATCATTGCCATGGGCATCGCGTACAACCGTAGTATGGAATCTCGCCTCAAGGGTTAAAACAGAACCATTTCAGCCGGCGTACAGTCTTGACACGGCTCATGATCGCAATCCTGCAATGCGGACGGGGTCCTTCATGCATGCGACCGGAATCATAAACAAAAGCGTTAACCAGGAAGGCATGCCAAAGCTGAGCCGGGTTCTGTATGGGATGGTCAGGTTGTGCAAAAGGAAATGATGGACAGCAATCTAGACAGCGCTCGGGCGTGTAGGACCTTCTAGTTTCGAAGCACTACCATACAGACTGTCTGGGTCGCGACAGACCGGGCAGGGAGCTAGTCGGACCATGTCTGCTGGGAAAAAAAATTATTATTTCTTTTATCTTAACAAAAAAAAACCACACACAGTGAAGTTGCCCAGTTCCGTGCAATCCAGCCTTGTCGGGGCGAGGCGAGCACATCAGAGCTGAAAGGAGGGGCACCGTGGGGCGCGAGGGTGGTGGTCTTGGGCCGCTTCAGGCATCGGATTCGCCAAGGACGCCCGCGTTCGGCGCTGCACTTTTGCTGAGATGCCTGCTGCGATCGGCGATTGGGCTGTGCCGGATGGACCGTCATGTCGAGACTTTGGCATTGACGCCACCCGGCGCTGAAGATGCCTGTTTTGCCGTGCGATTGGGGATCTGAAGAAAGACTGCTCCGGACGAGTCTTCCGGAAGGATAAAGATTGGACCTGTCAGAGAAGACACTCCGAATGACAGATTTGGGGACAGACTACGATACGGAGAACAGGCAAAGAGCCATGTCCATGTGACCTGCAGTCAGCAAGCAGACTATAATACAATTAACGGCCTTTTCCCGTGATTTTTGTATGCCCAAAAAGAGCATGCTGCAGTCTCGTGACACGGGGACGGCCCGATTGGGTCGTGCCGCCTGTTCCATACCCGTACTCAGTCGGGCTGCCAGTCGGTTGCACGATCGACAGGCAAGCCCTAGGAGTCCCATGGAACGTTGCATCGCCGCGCGCAACCCTCGACTCGCGTAACCTGGAAAACAGGACAAAATTCTCCTTCCAATATCGCATGAGGCAGCCATTACGGAGGAAACATCATGCACGCATGGGTAGCGCCAGCCACGGGTGGAGCTCCGCCTCAATGGAGGACACGCCACAGTGCACAGTGCACACCATCTCTGCAAGTGTGGCGGTGCCGCAACCCTGGGATTGACAGCGATCGATCATCAGCCACGACATCCACTGTTATGCACTCGTCCAGATCAGGAAATCTCCAGAACCACGGAACCAGGTCCTAGAAACTGACACCCCAGGCTCCAGCAAATGGCCTCGCGTCGATAGAACAGGGGTGTTGAAACAACTGTCTGATCAGTTTCGAGGATCTCGAAAACCGGGGCTTTGGAAAAAGGCCTCTGCTTTCCAATCCATGCTGTCATATGGCACAGAAGTCAAACAAAGCTGAGTCCATCCCACCGCTTATGGCGCGTACACTTGAAACACGATCGACAGCCATGACGCGTGAGTCAACAACTTGACTTGACAGCTGGTTCAAACAGTCGCGATTTCATCGACTGAATCGAAGTCAGTATGGTCAGTCAGGATCTCCTAACTAGTAGCAGATCATATTCCCTCTGTGTGACTCCATGAGTCAGAACTTGCAGCAGCCAGTAAATCTTATCGTACACCATAGCCTGTCTCATTATCGTCCATAGGCCTTTGTTTCAGATGATGCAATCAAGGAAACTTTGTTAGTTCAGATCTTAGTGTTAACATGATGCATGTGTCCTGGCATACATGCATGTTGTTATATCAATAACCGATAATGTGTTTGTCGGGGAATAATAGTATATGATATAATCTGTGTATTCAACGGTAATACTGCATGCTGTGGTGCACATGAGAAAATAATACTGCCCAGGCATATCCTCATGTCCGTTTTTGGTCAGGCTACTACTATAGGCTAACCATTCTTGAGCTTATTGGGGTGACTCAACGTGGATAGATCAGATGTAGAAGAGTAAAGCACACTCTTACAGACTGATAGTACATAGTAGCAAAGGTCCTGTGTCAGAGAGATAAAGAAAGGTCAGCAAGAAGATAAATCATACGATCAAGCTCCAGCATTCCCTAGTAGGTTATGGCAGAGGGCCCAACAAACTATCAAGGTAAATAGTATGCTCGCAAATCAGCTGTCAGGAAACGTCATTCATTGACCTTCCTCTGCTGCAAGGTCCCCTGTCAAATAGACGCACAGATAAATAGGAGATCTGAAATGACATTGCCATCTTTTTTCTTTGCCTTCTTTTTTTTCATGACCTGTGGTCTGGTCTCGTCCGTTAGGCCTCCCACCGCGTCTCTGCTCGATGGAAGCATGCGGGAGCTCCCGAAGGGCCCGACTGCGCAGTGGTCCAACGTGCTGTCAAAAGAGCGGTATATTCCCACCAGATGGTCTGCCTGCTTCTGTCTGTTTGCATCTGTTGGATTGATCCATGAATCATGACATGAGCTTGTTCAGTTGCGGCTGATCCAACATCAACCAACCTATTCCTGACAGCGCTGTTGGTTACAAAACTATTTTAAATGGATACCTAGCCTATATAGCTGTGTTGTGAACTGGAGAGAATTCTATAGCACAATCACTCTGACGACTCTCCTGACACGTCTTATAAGTGCCCTCTGCCCTTGACTCTCATTTCGTGCGAGTGACCACTATTATGTAAGAAATTGGCTATATCGACATGTCTTATCCGCGTAACTTGAACAGTTTGTCAGTCAGTATAGACCATGAAGACGATTCATTTGGGCTAGGAACTAGAACTCGAACTTCTCTCGTTCACAAGACTAAGTTTACAAGACCAAAAGACGATGGCTGGCGAGCACAAGAATCATGAGAAAATAAATGTGCAAATCCTATAATGGTCGATGT